CCAGCCATGGTGTAGGGGATTCCCTCTAACTTCTTGGGTGGATTCAAGGATTTTGCTTTAGACACGAAATAGCGGACTTTCCCTAGGGAATAGAGAGTAAGGCAATAGGGACCGCTCTGGGAGGATTGGCTCTCGCCATATGTTTGAGTTTTTTACATGCTTTGCTAGAAACGTAGTACACCATGTGTTTATAAGTGGTATCTGTTGCTTCCAATTAGTGTTTCGTTTGGCGTTATATTATCTCTTCATGATTTTTAGGTCGACAAGAACTTCGAGAAGTACTCAGATGCAGTGAATGAGCAGAAGCCTGATGCATTCGAAGCTTTACTTCACACTCGGTAATTATATATTCCATCCCATTTACCGTTATAAATTGCATAGCTTGACAGGTTTGTTTGGGCAGAGAAAAAATCTAAGAATAACCACCAGTGGCTAAATTACCATTTATGAGTAGTGTTTGATGCTATTACAGCACGGTTTTCAAACCACAGCCTTCTACAGCAAAAACAAGTGCGTTGGAAAGTTATGTCGTTGCAACGGAAGATCCTCTGGTAGCTGTTAAGGTCAGTGGTCTCTGTTCTGACTAATTATTCAATTTTTGTTATAGCGATATAGATTTTCGATTACATTTTTAGAAATTAGCTCTTTCAAATTCATCCGTGAACGTCTCCGGCTTCAAGCCCTCTCTCATTGCCACATCTTCAAAAAATAATCACTCTCACCGCGGTAGTGATGAGATTTTAGGGAGTGTGGCAGCGGTCGATCTGTTCTAAAAGAATAGCTTCCTCTCAAACCATGGCCAATAATTTCAAAATTGAGAAATAGATACACGAAGTAAGGTCTGAAAATTACTCTTCTAGCAGCTAAACACAGTTAGAATGGCTATATCGCAAGTGAAAGCAGTAGAGTCTTCATGGCTTTTCGCAGCTTCTATTAGACCACTCGCGATACTTCAGCCTTTATATTTCACTCACTCACAAGACTAGCACTTCCTACAAACTGAAATTTCTTTGCTTTGGCCATTTTTCACATGCCTTCCTCTTTTTGTAATGGGCTTTTCTCATATCGCTGTACAAGACTCACAATGTGCCATTCTTGAGGAGTGTAATGGTTTATCACTTGCTCTAAGCCTGTAGAATAATATAAGCTGTGAAACATTACCCCGTTCTCTGCAAGTGGTCATTGTCTTTCTGCAGTGGTCAGTGTTTGGTAACCGTAATTACTCATTTAGTAATGCTATATTATCATGAATATAAAATTTTTCTTTCAGGTTAAAGAAGAAACTCGTCGTCGCGAAGTTTTAGACAATCCGCTGGTGAAGCTGAAATTTCAAAAAATGTTGAAAGAAATGATGCGCGAAAAGGAAGCCAAAGGTGACAAGAGAAAAAGAAGAAGAAAAAGAAAAAGGCGGATGACATTGAAAAACCGAAAAAGCAGAAGGTTAGAAATAGTGTTACGGAAATCTTGAACAATTTTTCATGATCTGAATTAGTTTCAGAAGAAAAGGAAATCTCGTGAGCTATCAGAGAAAGACGTCTCAGCAAAAGGTTCTCCAAAAAGGAAGACTTCTCATTCACAGGTAGTTACGCTCTTTAGGGAACGAAATTTGATTTTTCGAGACTAAAAGTGGGAGAAATCGCTGCATATAGGGTTAAGCTGTCTGTGGAATAGAGGGTCTATTGTCGGGCATGTTTAGCTCTGCAATTGAACTAGGGTCACCTGGGAGTCAAACTTTATCATATCTTAATTCCGAGTAGTGAGCATATAGTGCCGTCTGTGCAAACACGATGCGATCTTTTTGACCAAAGTCGTGCCTTTTTTTGACGGTTAATTTTCGTCTGTTCACAGCAAGGAGTTGCACGTTTTGCAACGGATTTCTCAACGGGAACACCTGTTAAATATTTCGGGGAATTTTATATGCCTCACAAATTTTGAATAGGGTCAAATCCTTCTGGGCATCAGTTGCTTTAAAAGTTTGTTTTTTTTTTCGGCTATGTTCCGAAATTCTGTGTTATGTCAATAGAATGGGCCCTCTGTGTTAGAAAACCAGTGGCTTGTTGATGGTTGCATCTATTAATGCTTTGCCGGTCCAGTTATACGCCCTCACTACTTCAGTTTAAGCGGTCTGGTAGGTCTTTGCCGAGCTATGCCTGGGGAATTCTAAACAGTGATAGAACGGTGATATTTACTCGCTCCTTCTCCAATGGGATGGAACCTTGTGCATGCAGAGTATCAGAATGCCTAATTGCCTTCCAAGCCTCCAGAAAGAAAATTATATCATCCGATATCTTTTCAGAGAGCCCGAGATAGTTCCGATAACGAATCAGATGCAGAACAAAGAGCTCCTCGGAGGCGAAGTGGATCTGGCGAAGCTAAAAAGGACGGACATTTGAATTCTACCTTGCATCAAGAAACAAGAAGCTCTATCGCAGAACGTTTACTCTCGGCCTAAGGATGAGAGAAAGTCCATCGAAAAGCGTCATCTTCGCCAGTGGATACAAAGCCTCGGCGCGAAAAGTCGTTTTCGTCGGACAAGAGGAGTGACTCTAGACTGAAACGAGACGCCGTCGCAGCAGTACGTCGTCTTCACCAGAGGGTAACCAATCTAGACGAAGTCCATCAAGAGGAAATGATCGTAAGCGTATCAGGTCAAAATCAAAGGAACGCCAACGAAATTCTAGTTCTCCAAGAAATCAACGAAGGAGGACACCTTCCCCAAGGCTCACAAAATCTTTATCATCAAAACACAAGAGACGGCACAGTAGTTCATCAGTATCACCGAAACGAAGAGGGGAAAGAGGGTCGCCAACGGGGAAGAAGGAAACGTCACGTGAGGCGGGAAAGAAACGTAGTCGTCGTCGCAACCGAAGTAGTTCCAGCTCATCGTCAAGTTCTCCCTCCTCATCTTCACGCTCTTCTTCTGAAAGGCCGGTAAAATCTCATTCCAAAAATTGCCAGCGAGAAAAAGAGTCGTGACTCGTTTGTGGATGTTTCTCAAGCCGACAATAGAAAGTCTCAAGAAAGTGATGATCACAAGCTTGGAAAAGCGTGAGTTGTTTGTTTTCCAAGTTTCTCTGTGATATTGTCAGATATTATCAGATAGTAATTCAGGTGTTCATCGAAAGAAACGGAGAAGGAGAAAGAGCGGATGCGGACGTTTGACTCTCATATACCTGAACATCTCCGACCAAAGGTGTGCCAAATTTTTTTTCTACAGCGATGCTGGCGCTCTTAAATTCATTCTTATAAATCGATTGGATAGATGTTACATTAATTAGTTTGCTCTTGCCAGGCTGCTACCACAGACAGTGAAGAAGATATTGAGGACAGATTCGATCGTGAGGAACGCGAGCGTAAAAAGCGTTTCGAAGGTTTCGGCCTTGTTGGGGTTTGTTGATTTTTTATTCGTTGGGTGCTTATTTTTTTCTTCTTGAACAGAAATCTCTCCTGTGTAGGTAATAAGAAAGGACGAAGAAGGTGGGCCTGCTGAAAATCCATACGAGCTGTCGAGGAAGCCTGCTGTTCCTGTTTATAAGGTGATCAAATCACTCGAACTCTAACTTTTGAAATTATGTTTCTTTTGTTTTTAAACGCATAGTATTTCATTTCTGTCATTGTACGTTAGGAAGCTT